CAGTGAATATCAGCGCTATGTGGCCAGAAGTGTGATAATATAATTTATTTTGTATAATAAACAACTGCAAGGATAGATGATTACAACAAATAGATGAGTAATACATAAAAGTAATACATAGATGAATAATGATGATGAGTTATGATGCGTAATCATGGGAACAAGTGGGAGCAAAAGCTGAAATAATGCCTCTACTGAAGCCAATTGCACTAAATGCACTAAATGTGCACTGTTACAAGAATATTTTTCTTTCTATTGTTTTCTATTAATTTATATAATTTTAAGTTAAGCAGGACAGAGTTCTTTTAAAGAAAGATTTACTTTTATTCTCAAAAGTTAAGCATGACAGACTTCTGTTTAAGAAAGAGACCTGTTTTATTGTGTTAATGTTGTCATTTTGAGCTAAAAATAAATGGCTAAATGATTTTTGTTTCCCATGTGTTGATATCACAAAGAATAGGCATCTACTTAAATCAAATTCAAGTCAAATGGTTAAAAAAATAATTTCACACACAAAAAAAGAGCTGAAAAATTCAACACACTGGGAAGGGTGAAGAGTTGGCAACCCTAAATATGAGTGACATTATAAAGAAGTTCGCCAATCTTTGAGTGTCACTCCAACAAACGTATCCCCCGTACACAAGTAAGCAAGAGAAGACTAATTAACATGAACTGAATAAAATGACAAGAAACAAGTTTGAATGTATTCTGAGCTTTGATTTTCTGTTAATGTTCGCACACAACCCAGTGCAAAATGTTTTTAATAATGGTAAATGGACTGGGTCTTATATAGCGCTTTTCTACTAAAAACACTTAACACAACTTTTCTCATTCACATCAGAGCTTTTTTCATTCTGACAGTTACACACATGGATGCACCTTGTCTATGGATATTTGGCATGCAGAGAGGAGGAGATGGGATCGAACCACTTACCTTCTAATTGGTAGGTGACCAGATGTTGATCTACCTAATTGGTTAAACATTTAACTTTAGAGTCAGGATTTTCATGTTATGATTAAGTCCAGATTTGCATCAACTAATATTTTTACTGTTAATTAAAGAATTGTCTTATTTTTGTCTACAAAATGTTTTTTTAAGTTAACACTACATCTAAAGCAAGAGCTTCTTTAATATTTATATTTTAAAAAAAAGTATTTCAATGGGCTCATTTGCACTATAAAAGTCCAAAAGCCAGAAAAAGTATTACTGGGAAAGCAACTCAAACGATAAAATTTGTTTAATCAGTTGATTACTCAGTCACTTCTTTCATCTCCCATCCAGCCTTTTGTTTTCTTTGGTGTTCTTGCCCATCAATATTTTATTACTTTTCGCCACAAAGCAAAATGGCTGGCTGCTGATTAACAAAGTATATAACTACACCATTGTCCAATAAGCAGAACTGTATTTGGAGAACAGAAAGCATGAAATTATGAAAGAATTATGCACATTTACAGCAATAAAGAGAAAAAACAACCTTGGAAAATATTTTCTGTTCAGTGAAAAGGTTCACAGTGTTATAAAGCAAATAAATTGAGATTTTTAGGCAGTTACGTGACTATAATGTACAAAATGTTTTTTTTTTCACTCAAAGTCTGTGCAAGTTGCGTCCAAAATACACATAGCAAACAGCTACAATTCTACAATTCCTTATTTTCAGATTCAGACACCGCAACATAAAAATGTATCCTTATGTAATGTATCCTATTTTCCCCTTGGGGATAAATAAAGACTCAATGATTCTGAAAATGTGCACTTAAAAGAGCTATATAAACAGTGGTTTTCATGAGGTTAAAAGTAATAAAAAATAAATTACACAGACAACTGACAAAAAAACAACAACGGATTAAACCCTGACAGAAATAATGCAGCATTATCAATATGTCTGTGAAGGTTCTCAGTCATCCAGGTCATCGTAGTCAAAGGAGCTTGCAAAGAAAAGCGTCTGGACTTCTTTAAGTTACTTGAAGAC